TTCATATAAAACAGAATGTACTCTACATTTTATTTTAGATTTCTATTATAAAGACTAGTTCTCATTAAGTGTAGCTCGATCTTTTCTCGATTTACTTGAGAAAACCTGATGGGAGAATATTGGAATTGGTCACGAACCTTTCGGTGTCGACCTCGATTATTCTTCGAACCGTCAACAGTCGATGATCTTCGATCGATTCTGAATGAAATCAATAAAAAACGATTTCGAGTACGAGTAATCGGATGTGCACATTCACTTTCGGGTCTGGCGATGAGTGATGAAGTTTTGATTTCAATGAAAAACTTCAATCGAGTGATCGAAATTGATCAAGAGAAAATGGAAATTGAGGTAGAAAGTGAAATTCTTCTCTCAACATTGAACGAACTGCTTCCTAAATATGGATTGGCGTTACCCATTCAGCCTTCTACTAGTTCCATTACAGTGGCTGGAACTATTTCAACAGCTAGTCATGGATCAGGTAGATCGATCAATGTCTAAAGAGATATTTTATTCCTATATAGGATATCAATATGGAACAATGTCATCGTATGTTCGATCGATTCGATTAATGCAATTGAATGGAGAAGAGAAAGAATATACAGAAGAACAAGATCAAGAATTATTTCGATGTTTAACATGTAGTTTGGGCTCATTTGGAGTGATCACTAGAGTTCGACTTCAATTAGCTCCTCGATTCGATTTGGAACTAAATCGTTATTATTTGACGTTCAATTCATTTCTGGAAAGATTCAAAACTCATTATTCATCTTCTGATTATTTCTATTACTTGTGGTATCCACATACAAATGGTGGCCTTGCTAATCATTTAACACGAGTACTACCACGCAATGTTCCTTTGAAAAATTCAATATTCTCGAGATTTGTTTCTTGGGTTCGCGGGTCTTTGATTGGTGAGATCATCGATTATTTATTCGTTTTTTTAAATTCATTTTTCGTTTAGAACATTATCTATTGGAGTTTTTATTTTATGTCTCATTATTGATTCCTCGACTGGTCATTCATATTAATCGTCTATATTTAGAATTGTATCGTCGTCCTTATCATGAAATAGCTCGATGTGATCGATTGTTAAATTTTGATACTCCAATTATTCAATATGCAATGGAATGGGCAATACCATTAGATGAAGCAGTAACCTGTCTTGCAGAGCTTCATCAATGGATCGAAGAGCATTCCACTCGAACACGTGTTCATTATCCAATCGAAATTCGTTTTAGTTGTTCAGAGAACTGTTCGTATCTATCGCCATGTTTCGAACGAGCAACATGTTGGATCAGTATAGGTAGCCTTCGACCCTATGGAATTTATCATTCTCAACGTCGACTAATTTTTCAAGAATTTCAAAAAATTTGCCAACGACATGAAGGAAGACCACACTGGGCTAAGGAACATTCACTCACTGTTCACAATTTTCGACAATTATATCCACAATGGAATTTGTTTCATGAAAAACGTAAACAATTCGATCCTAATGATCTTTTTATTAACGATTATCTGCAAAAAATATTTGGCTCGACGTAAAAGTGGATAATTGACTATTTATTTGATGACCATTCATTTCGTCCCCCTATTATTCGTTCCAATTAAATTTCGTCCCAAATTATGACTATTCATTTCCGTTAGAGAAATATTAACTAGTTTATCTAAAAATTTCAACTACTTATTTTCAAGTTCATAGCAATTCGAATTAAATATTCCTCAATATTGTTAACATAATGAAGCAGTGCGATTCTTTTCAACCGTGTATCGAGATTTTCATAAATCTTTTTCCTTGATTGTTTAGCAGCTCGAAATCGTTCGATATCGGGTATGAGCGTGGGTGTGAGAGTGAAGGTGTGCCTATTCTATTCAAGTCACCGACCCACATTTACAACTATTATTATTTGTATTGCAAATAAAAAATCTTTCTGAATCAAGAAGTATGGGACAATGATGGAGGAAAACATGGGAAATCGATCGAACTTGGAAGCAGTATTCCGATTCGGGAAACTTTCGGAATATTACGATGATTTCGATTCGATGCGTTTTATTAGTTTCCGGGAAACTCATTTTATTGCAAGGACAGGTGTAAGAGATATTTAATGGCCGTAATGGACATAATGAATAATGTGGCCATATTGACTGTTATACATGATCTCGTGCGATGTTCCATTAGCCTTTGTCGGTGAAACTCCTTTCTCCGCACCCACACTTGGTCCGATGCCGTGTGAGTCTTTCTTGGTGGAACTCCGCATCCATACTTGGTGCGATGCTGTGTGAGTCCTTCTCGGTGTAACTCCTTTCCCCGCACCCGCATCTGCTGCGATGTGATGTCTGTTGGTTTTTTAGAATTTATGCATTTTGAATACATGTAAGAGCTCGATATTTTTGATGATCATATCCAATACGATGATTATGTCCATTATGTCCATTATGGCTATTTTGTCCACGGGCACCTTCAACGGAAACTGAATTCAATTTTCGGAAATTGATCAGTGTCGGGAAAATAAATGAGTTTTCTGGAAACTTATATAACGCATCATATGAATTTGGGTAATTTTCTTTTTCGAAAATGTGAATATACCTCAGTTTTCTCTAATTCTATATATATTACTGATGTCGTTCAATGGATCTTGATGTATACCTGTAGTGGGTCTTATTTTAATCAGTTTTAATGTCCATGAAAGATTAGTCATGGATCTTTTTAGAAAGAAATTCTATCTATAGTATGGCTTATTGTTGCATGAAGTAATTAAAGATCTTTGACTTTTATTTTTTTTTTGTTCTTCTGATCATCGACGAGATTTTATATCAATTGCAGACAGTATAAATAAAGACTATTCTCTCTTTATTTATTATTTCGTCGATACTCGATGGATTGAAGTAGATCTTATTATTCAACGTGTAAAAAGTGAGCGTAATATAATTAAAGAATACCTCCTTACATACATATCTATCGACAATAGACAAGAAAATCTAATAAAATGGCATATAGAAAAGATTTGTAAGTTTAATCAATGACAAGTCGATACTTGTCAAATTCTATTTTATTCTTTTTCTATATCAAACAATATTTAAAAAAAAGAATTTCTTTGTCTATGACAAGAACAAACATTACTACATTTGCTTTATGGTCAATATTCCAACTTATTACCAAATATATTATTGTCATTTGTTAAACGAGAAATTATCAAAAGTAAAGCAAGAATTCAACTGTTGTCTCTTGTTTTTCGTGCTATATAATAGTCAAAAGAGTATTATCTATATATTGATATTGATGAAAATACTCGAATGCACATTAAAGATCTATCTGTCAATGAGATACCTCCAATATCTTCAACCTTTATCATGAAGATAAGAGTCTTCTCGAACCATTATTATATATTTTGCACGAAACGTTCCACATCGATTAATCAACAAAGAACTTGATCGAGTTGGTGGTGAGTGTAAAGTTTATGATATAGGCAGTATATTAGTAGATTGGATTAAAATAAACACAGATGTTTAACATAATATCATTGAATGTGTACCTCTTGAGAAGTATTGACATCAACTATTATTTATGTCGCACGTCTATTCATAGTGTCGACAATTAACCGACAGTAGCGCTTATGATATTCTGTTTCAGGTATAAACGATAGAAGAGTGTTGTCTACTCAAATTTCAATTTATTATTAGAAAGAATTTTAATTCATCGAGAGAAAAAAAAACAGTTTCAGAATATATTTTCCTAATAAAAATTGTTGCTGCGGCATCTATATTAAAAAATTTATCTCAGAATTGGAGTCGAATTAGGCTCTGTGGCCAGTATAGGAAACTGAGATACATCAACAATATCTATCTTCATTAAAAATGTCTAATTTATGTCACTTTTTATAGAGTTGAAAAATCTAGATCTATTTTTATGTAAAAGAGTATCATGTCATATCCTCAATAAAAGAATAGACTAGTTTTTTATTCGGTTCGAATGAGATGAATATTTACTGTTAGAGCAACTGGTAGACGATAATATGTTATATTAACTAAACTCGTCAAATGTTTATCTTTATCAGATGAAAACATTGATGTAGAAAGATGTTTTTATCAAAACAATAATCTTCTATCGTATAATCGTTTATTAGTAAAGTAAACATCTATCAATAGTTAAATAGATAGAAATTCTTCTGTTAAATTCTTCAGTAATAATTATATCCATATGGTAAATATGTTTGATTTGTTTGTTCTATATTCAATGTTAGTATCAGATCTAGTTTGCTTTTAAACGTCGAACCAACAGATCTACCATTATGCAAAATATAACAAAAATAACAAAACAAAATCAATAAAAATCATTCATGTAACTAATGGAAAACAAACTACTGATATAAAACATGAAAGATTTCATGAAAAAATAAATTCAATTGTTAAACGACCAGAACAGTTTAGAATAAACTTTGTCTAGATCAACTAAAATGTTAGAGGAAGGAAGTGTAAGATTGAGTGGAACTATTAATGATAACAAATATGATAACATTACCGGAGTTGAAGTACTTCTAACAGCTCTTGCTAATGGTAATATACCTATTTTCAATAATTGGTTAGTAGAAAATAGGGAAAAATTGAACTGATTACAAAAAAAAACAGAAAAAATCAATGATTTCAATCGAGCTTTTTTTTTTGTTTATTTAAAATATTTTCGAAATATTCTTATATAAATTAAAATAAATAAGTTCTATATAATAAAATGAGAGATGATTAGAATTTGAATAGTCTTATAATGATAAATGATCATATATCAACATATTCAGTAAAAAGCAGGAAAATGAAGATATTTTTTTAAAAATGAGGAATGTTGTGCTGCTAGGAGGTTTGTCATATATAATATTTAAATAAAATATCTGTGCTATAGTGCAGTTCGATAATAAAAAGTTCGATAATAAAAAGTTCGATAATAAAAAGGAAGAAAAAATCGAAAATTTTGGAAAATAAAAAGACTAAGATAAAGGGTTTTGCTCATAGATGTAAATATTGAAAAAGCATTAAATTATATATAAAGAGAGTAAAAAAGATGAAATTAGATTTTTGATAATAAGAAGCTGAATTTAAAAAAAATTTATTTTTCTTTTCAATTGTTTCTATGGTTAATTTATCTAATGGTTTTAATTGTTTATTATCATTAATTTCTATCCATCCATAAACTTGATATTTATCTTCAATATAATAAAGACCATTTTTAAATAAAATTGGAATTTCTCGAGAATAATTTCCTTTCCAATAATGAAAATAAAAATTTTGTTCAGCAACTCTTATTGAATTTGTTAAAACATCAACTATAATAGCAACATGTCCATAAGGCATATCTTTTTGTATTGGATAAATTAAATATGATTCATTTATTGGTCGATTTCGATGACCATTCGAATGTTTTTTGAGAGGATATTTTTTTTTCTCAACAACATTTTCAATATATTTTAATTGATTCCACATATCATTAGCACCATTAACACTTTCAAATATTGAACTTTTACGTAAAAAAGTCCATCGACGTGCATATTCAACACATTGCCATTTTATTCCCATATATATTCCATAAAGATAATTATCTTCATTTGAAATAAAACTATCATTACCATTTGAATAACCAATTACATTTGATGAACTTACACCAACTATATCATTATATCGAGCAATTCTTTTTTCATTTACTAATCGTTTTTCTATTAAGAAATAAATTTACTTTTTTTATTTATTTATAAAACTATTATCAACTGACCTCTAAGGATTTGTAAATATGAGAATTTTATTGACTTTCCTTCTGATTTTGATGATTTGGCTAAATGAGAAGATTGATAAATAACCGTTAACAAACAAACTGTAAAGACGAGTTTCATCATTAAACGCTTCTCTAACGGTTGATATTGGATTTCTGACAGACAATAACAATATAAGATGATAGATAAGAAAATAATTCTGTTGGTTTTATTTATAATACGAATAAGAATGAAGGATAAGAGAAAGCGCTACTTTCATCTTCATAGTTAGATAATAAAGAATTATTTTGACTATAATTATTAGAATTAATTTAATAAAAAAACAAAAGAGAAATGAATTAATTTATATTCTAGAAACGTTTTTTATTATTCAGATATTGGTCAATAGTCTAGATTCTCTAATAATCTCGATTATTATCGATTTATTCTTATTGTATTTGACAATAAGAAAGAGAGAAAGACAAACGAAACTATCCTAGAAGAAAATCAATCAATCATAAACATAGATATACATATATCAGTTAATTGTAAAATTAATTCTACTAATTTCAAGAAAAAAAAAATGTTTGATTTGAAAAATCTGAGAAGTTATTCGTTTTACTAGGTTATATCCGTCGAAAAAAAACGAATAAATTTTTCCGAGTGATACTATTTATATCATTGAGATTGATCACAATCATTCAAACCTGACGAAAATATCTCAATACAAATTTTTCTCATCAATATTTAACAAATGCAAAAATCCGAGACAATCGCTAAGTATTATAATTATAAAGGTGATTATGTCTGATGATACATCGACACCTACCTTTTTCTTTTTCAAATCAATCAGAAGTTTCCTGACGGTGAGAATTTAAATGGTTGATTTTCACAATTAATTGATAAAATTATGAAAATAATATGTTAAATCTTAATGACATAAGAGAGTTAACGATCAACAAAAATTTTCAAGTTTTATTTTATAGTTTTGATTAACAAGAAATAAAAGAATGTTATCATATTTTTAAACGATTTTCTCATCGATTGATTGGCTTTCATTCTGGAATTTGTCTATCGTTGTTAGGTGAATTATTTTATTTGAGAATTATATTTTATCTCGTCTGAGAGAAAATTGATTTAAATATTCTTTTTTATGTTTGATAGATTTTCAATAGTTATTTATTTAAAAAGTGATAACAATATTTTACTATGACAAGTTTTAAATAATAGAAAGATTTATTTATTTATTTTTAAGAATATTATTATCTATTATAATAACAATCAATCTTTACAATAATCTCGGAATTGATGACTCTTTTTATCTATTAGCTAGTTGTTTTGCATCTATTTTATTTATTATTTTTGAATAAACTCTTTTATTAAAAAGAAAAATTTTTTATCTAATTTTCGTAGGTATTAACATTCGCTCGTCTAGTTTAAAAAGATCCACTTACTTGATCAAATTTCGATATTTGAATCATCAATAATATCACTCTTCTAGGATAAATAAATAGTGAACTTTAATAAGAAATTTTATTAAATAAAATCTTTTTTTTATTCGAATTTTTAGTTAAAACATATAAATGTTATTTGAATAAATCTGAATAGATTAAATATAGAATATATTTTTAGAATGGTCAATTATCTAAGAGTATCACTAAAATCGAATCCGAATGAATATTTTCTTATTGATTTGAATCTCTGTTTGTTAGTAGAGGTTATTGACTAATTATATATATCTATTATTATATAAAAATATTTCATTTTTTATTAATCGAATATAGTTTATCTTATATATATTTTAATAAAATATTCAAATAAAAAAACAAGAATGGATCGATGAAAACATTATTTTAAAAAATGCGATAGATAGTCATTAAGAGTTTGTTTAAATCCATTCAAATATCGAATTGATAGACAAAATTTTATTTTTATCTATAATAAATATTTATTTTATGTTTTATTCTATAGATTTATTTAAATAATATATATTGAAAAGTCTCTCTAACAAACAATAACGTTCAAGTAAATAAGAGAAAGAATAGGAAAGGAAATACTTCTCAACTTTGAAATATTTTCGAAGAATAGAATCAGAAGCACATCCTCAACATGCATCTATATGTTAACTGAACTTGTATAATAATAGTTGAACAATTTCATATGAGATTTTTTAACTTCTAATTATTCTACATATTGTCAAAATCTCGATGGAAAGTTAGCAACAAAATACTTCTTATTATCCTAATTCGAATAGAATTTCGACATTAACAAAATTCTATTAAACAAATTATTCGAATGAGTGAATATTTTTAAAAAGTCTAATTTTAATGAGGAAAATCTTTCTAAAGATAAGACTAATCAATTATGTTGATCAGATGACAGAAATTACAACAAAAGAAAAGCGTCATTTCTTAGTTGGACGCTTTCTATTAATAATTATCATTAGATTTCATCAATATATATATGAAGATTTATAAAAATAATTATCTTCAATTAATTGAGTTAGATTTATTAAATTTGAAATCGAAAATTGAAATGATAAATAATATTGTTTTAAATTTGTTTTATATATAATAATTATCTTGAAAAAAAGGGCAAGAATCTATTTGATTGAAATATGTCTACACCTCCACAGATAAATTAGATTATTTTTGTTACTTCATAGTTGATACATAGATATATAGTTGTTAGTGATACCATAAAAAGAAAAAGGAAAAAGGAAAAGCGTACTCGTTTGTCATAGGATTTGTCATTTGTTGTTTTTTTTTTCTATGTTGTAATATGGATAAAACTTCTAAAATATCTGGTTCATTATCAAAAAACAAGAAAATAACTGTTGCATTATCACCAAAATTATTTGCATTTGGTGGTGGAACGAAACCTGTTTCTCAGTTATTATTTAATAAATATGATACAGATAAAAATGGTTTGTTTATTTATTTAAGCTACTTTTCTTTTTCTAATCTAGTTTTCAATTTAACAAATAAAATGAAGAAATTTTTCTTTTCTTTCAAACATTTTTAATATGAATTTAAAAATAAAAAAATAAAAAATGAATTTAAATATAATAATAAATAATATATTTTAGGTGTTATATCAATGGATGAACTTCGTTTTCTTTGTTATGATATGGGATATTTTTTATCTAATACTCAACTTGATTGGGCACGTACATTTATTGATAAAGATGGAAGTGGTGGAATAAATTATAAAGAATTTTCATCATGGTGGCAAAATTCTTCACGTTTTGAGCATCTTTTATTATCAGATGAACAATTTAATAAATTACAACAAATAACTCAATTATATCGATCTTATGATAAAAAAAATCAAGGACAACTTGATAAAAAACAATTTAAAGAACTTTTTCAAGAATTAGTTAGAAAAAAGATAATGGAAGAAAATCAAGCTAATCAATTTGATGAAATTGATCGAAGTCAAGATGGAAAAATAAATTTTAATGAATTTGTTGCTTGGTTTTATGATCAAGGAGTTTTAGAAAAAATGGGAATTTTAACTCAAAAGAAAGATCAACAAGAAAATTAACACATTTTTTTTTTTCATCTTTTACAAATATATCTTCATTTTTATCTTTATCCACGCTTAATCTACAATCAAACGTTTTTTTTCCTTGATAAACAGAAGATTTTAAAATAAATATCGATGATAACTCCAAGTATATACAGAGTATACCAAACATTTTACAACTTTTTCAAAACTCTCAATTTTCTCTTCATTTATTGAGATAATCACTTTAGTTTATATTGATGACGGTACACATTCCTCTCCTCTATCATTATCATAGAATCATACTCTTTTACTTTCTTTTCATTCATTTTAAGACGATAAAAACTCCGGATTTATGATATGTACTTTTATTCCACCATAAAAATGGGAAAAAACTTCCAGAAATTGTTAAATTATTGGCAAAAAAAGGTCTATCCAAGTACAATTGATCGTTTTTTATGTCGGTGAAAAAAATCTTGTTGAGTTGATGCTAAATAAAAATGATAAAGAGCAATAACTGATCTTAGAAAAAGAATTAGGAATTTCGATGAAAAAAAAGGCTCGATTCGAATATTCGTTGAAAAAGTTTATGAACAATGATTAAAAACTTTCAAATTAGTACTAAAAACATCATGCGAACAGTCAATATTGATTTAAATAAAAAATTCAATCGAAAAATTAATTTTCACAATTGAAAAGAATATAAAAAATCAATAATAAAAACATGTTCCAGATATATTCGGAAGAGGATTAGTAGTGGCAAAACTAGAGAAGATCATCTATTTATCAAAAATGTCTTTTTTTCAATCAAAAATATTATCTTCTCTCGACAGATAATCGATCTTATGTTAATCAATCCAGTCAACTACATAGAATAGAAAAATATCTTCTCTATATCCTAGTTTCATTCGATATAACATCGTATCGATTAATATATTCACACCTTTTTCAAAAAATATTTTTCAAAAAATATTTTTCAAAAAAAGGCGAACAACTAAATCGATAAAATTATTATCATTATTTATTAACATTTTATAAAAAAAAAAAAAAAGAAAGGTGATCGGTTATTTGGAGACAAAAAAATGAATTTAAAAAAGAATGGCCTTACCGATCATATTGACCGTAAAGGTCACAAATGGTGTCAAAAAAGGTTGAAATTCTTCATCCCAAAAAGAAAATATCCATTCAATTATCCAGAAGTTAATCGATTCGATTATTCAATAGGGAATAACATTTTAAATCACCTGAAATATCACAAGTCAAAATAATCAATGATTTCGATCGACAAATCGAAAAAGCAAAGAAGACAATTTATACTAATTATCTACGGAAGACGATCGGTGCTTCCATAAAACGAGTACGTTCACTAGAAAAAACATGGTGATCAACTAATTATAGATGAATATATTTAATTCTAGTACTACTCTATTCTGTCTTTTTAACCATTTTATTATTATTTAATTATTTTGTTTTATCTTGAAATAAATTCATTTTTCTGAAATATTGAAAAACTTTTAGCAAACTCGGTCTATTATATATAGAGATAAATATTTATCAATTATTAAAGACTCAAACTAAAATGTCATTTATTTTTTTAGTAATTATTTATTGAGATCCTCCTTTGAAAATATTCTTCATTTCTCACTTCATTCCTCTTAATAATAAATAATAAATCAATCAAATTTCAAATAGAATTTATTTAGGAAAATTTTTAAAAAGATAAAATCTTTATCCTGAATAGTTTTGCTCTTTTCTGTTATATTCTATCTCTCTTTTGAGAAAGAATTTTGAAAATAATTATTTTTAACCCAATCATTAAACAAATATCGTCTATCTAATCATAGACTTAGTCCCTTTTATAAAACTATCTCAGCTTTCCATAGATTCTAATACATTCTACTCTTCATATCAGCATAAATATTTCATTTTCTTGCCAAAGAAAATAAAGAATTTTTGTTACAAGAAAGATTGTTGATCTCTCGATAGGCATCTTTTTCAAATCTACATGATTTTGTAGAAAATTGCTTGTAAAACTTTTTTGGAAATTCTTTTTTATTGCTAAAATGAAACATTTTTTTTTCTTTAGATCATGATGAAAGGGTAAAGATGATAGATTTCGATGAAATAAATAAAACAAAATTTCTTTTATCACATAGTCAATCTTAAAAAATGAACAGATAACAATCATATACCTTTTTTCAATCGTCTTACAATTTTATCAAATGGTTGGCGCACGAGTAAATATCGATTTTTTTCTATTATTATTTCAGCTTATTTTCCTAAATAACTTCTAGCTAAATATTTATTTTTTATTTGTTCATCAAAATCATCTCTCATAATTCTCTTGTCAATGTAGATCGTTTAATAAAGAGGAGATTCTAAACGAGTAAAATAAATATGTATTTCAAAATAAACTGATATTTCCTTCTGATCATTTAGAAAACCGTTGTTGCTTATTCGAGATATTTCAGTTGGACGCATTATGTTTATCTTGAATATTGATCATAGAATCTTCAGATTATTTTCAATAACATATAGAATGAATCAATAGATTTTCAATATATTTCACTATATTTTTATATTATTCAAATTTTCCCGCCTGGAAAACACATACACAAAAAATTTATTTTTTTATCTTTTATTATTATTGTGTACTCAAAAAGTTCATAGACTCGACGAATCGGTCAGTATGTCCAGCCGCCCGTCCGTTTACACGATAACTTTTGAAAGGAGAGTCAGATCACGATGAAATTTTCTACACAGTTTAGTCTTAACAATGTCTTGATCGAGAGAAGAAGATGAGCGTGATCGACCGAGCCATTTGTGAGTTATTGCAAAAATAGTCATTTTTCCCTATGCCTTCCTATGCGAAAATCGACTCATCCCAGCTTTCGTAAAAGACTTTTCCCATCATAGTCAAATAAAACCCCAACTATTATATACCACTCGATAGAGAATTTCACGAGCTGCAAAATGGTATATAAAACATAAAGGAACGAGAAGGCTAACTCACCTATTACAAAGATAATTAAACGGGAATAGGTTCCGTTTTTGTCCACGATCTAATTGACTCACAATTCTAGCTCTATCTTCCGATCATAGAGTTGATACTTTGAGGTTTTCTGGGGCAGAGAACTCGAATCTGTATTCCACTTGCCTCGAAATACTATTGGTTGAGCAGTAACCAATAGAAATCAAGTTATAGGAAAAACGACTTTCTTAGGGTAAATCAAGGCAAAGAGTTGAAATTTTCACTCTATTCGCCTCCAAGCCCTATTGATGGATCAATAGTCAACAGAAATAAACAATTTATAGGAAAGGTTTCTGAGTATAATTTTGATATTCACGTATTCTAGAATGACTCATCTGTCTAATTCACTTTTCTTCAGTACACATAACTCTCGGATTTAAATCCGAAGTTTCCACATTTATTTTTTTAAAAATTATTATATTCTCCTTTTCCCGCTTGGGAGATACATACACAAATTAAAATTTTTCAAACAAATTTTCTTGATAAGACCCTTTTATTTCATAAAAGGTAATAAAGGTAGAACTGATTTTATTTAAATATTTCTCATTCTATCAATGACAAAGATCAATCGGAAAATTTGATCATTGATTAAAATTTTGAGAATAATACAATCAATTATATAGATCATAAAAACATATTCAGTTATTGATTTTATTATGGAAAAATGAAGAGTTAGATTTGTTAGGGTAACACAACATGTTCGATATAAATAAGTCTATATCATTGAGATATTGACCAGCTTCCAGTCCAAATTCCAGATAAAATCAGTGAAATAACTGTTCGAATAAATCGATTCTATCAGAAAAATGTTTGAAAAATTTTTTCTAATAGGAAAGTTCTATCTTTGAAGAGCTTTATTCTTCGAATTCACGATAGAATTTCTTCAACTGTTCAATCAGTTTTCAATCGAGATAATTTTATATTCTTATTTACGGATAGAAACAAATCAAAAGACATAAAACTTTCCGAGTAAATTATTTTGGTTAATTCCTGCTTCTATGGAAAGTTTTGAGTAGAAATTTGAAAATGAATTTGTTCTAGTGTTCGTCAACATAACGAAGATATTTTGTTGAAATAATCTATGATTTAATCAATGATGATTTAATCAAGAAAAGTTTTTATTTGAGTTCATTTGAATATGACTTGAAGAAGTTTTACAATCGAAATTCGTAGAACTTTCAACATAGGAGAAAAAATTCATTTCGAATGAAATCTGAATAATAAATGAAATGATCAATATATTTATAATACGATTTTTGATTGTCATCTATTGTTAGATTTTAAACGAAATTCTCATTAACAGTTTACAAATATATAAAAGATCATAGAAAACTTTGAAAATCGAAAAAGAAAAAAAGTTTTATATTTTATTTAACGACTTATATCGTGATGATGACGTTTGTCAATTTCATAAGAATTCGCATTTTTAAACGCTATATATATTTGCATTAGAAACTTGCACGTGGAAGATTTATATAACAACAGTCAAACAAAAGAACGAAAAAAAGTCTAAATAGGCTTTTTTTCTCTTTTTATTTGCACAGAACGAAGACAACAAGTTAGTTTATCAGCAAATACTCATTTATATTAAAGGTAAGATGTTTAAATACATATGTTTGCCTTTTTTTTTTGTTTTTATCATTTATTTAAATTGAAACTACCTTTTCTAAAAATAACTATCGAATATATTAGAAATAAACTGACCAATTTGAACTATTATTATCAATTATTAAATAAGACTCCTTTTATTTTCACTTTTTTTTATTAATACAAATATTTTGAGAAGTTTTTAGTTTTTAAAGCATTTATCAATCCATCAAAAACAAATTCAATTAAAAGTACAACTTCAAAAAACGTTCGATTTCATAGAAATGAATATCGAGATTTAATATATCAACGTTTTTTAGTTTTCTATACGATCAAATCGTTCTCATTAACTAATATTTTTCAACACTGTTAAATCTCTTTAGTAGTAAAATACTAATTATCGAATATTCTAACCTATCCATTTCAACAAGATACTTCTTCATAATATCCTACTGAGCTTATCATATATTCAATCGATATTCGATAAAATAAAGCTCTACAATTAAAAAATCCAGTTCATCTTACTCATATCATGAGAAGACCGTCCTTATTTCCATAGAAATATTTTCAATATGTTACTAAAAATGTCATAGTCTTATTGGATTGAATTTATATGTTAGGATTCGATTAGAATCCAAATTTATCATTTCTGCGAAATGCAATTTCATCTATCAAAATTGACTTAATCATATTATTATTGAAAAAATAGAAGAGTCATCTTATCTAGAAGATATTCTCTGATTAGAGGTGTCACTTGAGGATTCCCTTCCTAGGAACCCGAACCTAGAATAGATAATTTTACTCTAAAAATACTTCAATAAACTATTTTAAATCAAAATAGAGATTCTTTCACTAAAACAAAGCTTTTTTTAGGAAAAAACTCGTTTTTTTATAAAGTTTGATCAAAGATAATCGAACTCAACGAATACAAGTCTGTGATTAGTTTCTCTAAATTTTCAATTTCGTTTTTTGGCAAAATTTGGCGAAAGGGATCACAGTTTCAGATCCCTCGATATCGGTTATCTGTAGTAAAACTTTATAAAAAAATCACTTTTTTCTTAATAAAACTTTTTACTTTAACTTTTAATACTTTATTAAAGTATTTTTACAGTTAAAGTGCCGTCTGTAGCTGTGCCTTCCTCGGAACTGGAACCCATAGTGAGTTACTACATAATGGAAGAATAGATATGTGTAAACGCTCTCGAATGCTCGAAAATCCACGGAATAGAATTCTCAAGTGAGTTTCCCTTCCTTAGGAAGAGAATCCTAACGAATGGAAATCCTGACATCCCTATCTGCGATCTCTATTATAGATGTAAAGATCTTAAGAAATATCAGGTGTTGAAAGGTGCAAATGAGAATTTGAAGATGTTTAGAAAGTAAACTCTAGTTAGATATATATATTAGTTTATTAAATATTCTCTAGTTTTTATCGAAAATAATATTAGTTTTGATCTTTGTTTGAAGATAAGAATATATTTTAGTATATTTATCGTATTCTAGTTATCAAATAAGGAAATCGATTCTGATGAGGAAAAAAATTAATTGGAATAATTGGAAATATATGAAAAAAGGCTTAAGAAAATTTTATTTTCTCAATTATTTTGAACTTTAACTGATCGAATTGTTTGACTATTGATTTAGAAATATAATCATAAGTATAAATAATGACTGCTATCAAGAAGAAATATAAGACGATCACACATTCATCATTCACCTTAACAGAGATTTCAAAAACAAAAGGTGTTCGTCAAGCAGCAACAACAAATATTTCGATTATTTAAAGGTAAAAATATCGAAAAACAACTGAAGAAATTCGAAAAAATGAGTTTTTTTTTCTTTCCTATTCTAGGATTTTTATTAAAATCTAAACGATTATTTGTTTTGAATGAGTTTCGATTGTTTATAGCTGTTTAAGTCGCGTTTTCACTGTTAGATAGATCAATATTGAAGATAGTGTATCTCTCTAAGATTGATTAGGTTCGAACAAGTTCTTCATCAATATTTCTAGGTTAACATAGTTTTCATTGTTTATTTCTTCAATTTTTCGTAGTTATCTATCTTCAAATTACATTAATATACAGTCAAAATAGAGGATCCTATTTACCATAAAATTGCCAGATTTGATAATACTTATCTTGAATCACGAATACAATGTATGGATGAGAAAAAAATTGAACAATTATATAGAGAATAGAACAGGTTTTACTGTAACTTGATCGTAGATTGTTAGAAAAAATTGTTTAAATAGATAATGAAAAATATGTTAACCTAGAAATATTGATGAAGAACTTGTTCGAATAAAATCAATGTTAGGTAGATAGGCCTCTTCAAGATTACTCTATCTAATCGGGAAATAGTCGACTTCGATAGATATAAACAATTGAAAGTTATTCAAAAGACAATAATTGACATTTCAATAAAAATTCGATAATAGTTTCATTGATTATTATTAAATAATAGTTAATTCAGCTATAATGAAACATAGAATTCTATGATCGTTGAAATTCATCGAAGAATCGTTATATCTTATAAAGTCTTTTCACCATTATTTCAACTAAATTGTTTCTCTTAACTTGTTTATGTTGATCGATTGATAGATGCATAATGAGGTTTATCATAAAATGAAACTAATATAATAAGTTATAATCGATTGTTATTGATATATCATTTTAATTAAAATGTGAAACAAAAAAAGAAATTTTATTTTATTTAGAATTGTTAATTAAACGAAAAGAAAAAAAAAGTTGGTAAATGAGTTCAAACGATCCAGGACATATCGGTAAGTTAATATGATAAATATATAAATAAAAATTGATATTTTAATAGAAAAACTTGATAGAAATCAAATTGAAAGTCTTAAAAAATTCTGGATTATTGTTGGAGATAATATAAATGATTCAGAAAATGAAATAAACTCAATTTATAAAGATGAATTATTTCTAGCAATTGGTTATGATAATCCAGATGCAGTTTTACTTCGTTGGCTTCGTGCTAGAAAATGGGATACAAAAGCTGCTTTACAACAATTAATCGATACAATTAAATGGAGACATCAATGGGGTGTTAAACAACTTTTAGCTAAAGGTGAAACTGATCTTTGTTATGATGAAATAATAACAGGTAAAACTTATTTTATGGGTCAAGATCGTCTTGGTCGTCCAATAAATTATGTTCACGCTAAAGATCATATAAAAGATCAATTTCCATCTGAAGCAACAGAAAAATTCACAGTTTTTTCTATGGAAACAGGTAGAAAATTACTTAAACCACCAAGTGACTCTGTAACTGTTGTTTTTGATTTACATGGTTTTGGATTAAAAAATATGGATTATCAACATTTAAAATTTCTTACTCGTCTTCTTCAAGATTATTATCCCGAATCATTTGCACTTGGACTTGTTGTTAATGCACCTTGGATATTTAATGGATGTTGGTATATTATTAAACGATGGTTAGATCCTGTTGTTGAAAGTAAAATTCATTTTTTAAATAATATTAATGATTTAACACGATATATTGATCCATCATCTTTACCTAAACGATTAAATGGTACTCAACCAGATTTTAATTATATTCCACCAACTGAACAAGATTTATCTATGATTGCTGCTTTTAGAAATGATCAACAAGGAAAAATAAAAGCAGAAGAAACACATCGAGAAACTGTACAAAATTATCTTAATATAACATATAAATGGGCTCATGGAGATGAAACAAATGATTTATTAGAAAAAAGAAGAATAGCTGCTAATCAATTAAGAGATGCATATGAACAACTTGTTCCATATATTCATACAACAACTCATTATCATAGAACTGGAGCCATTTATGAACCAATATTTGATATTGTCTATAATAAAATTCAAAATAATACACAACAATAACTAGTCTACTTGTTTTTTTATTCGATCAACATTTTAATTCGAACTTTTATTTTTTTTTATCAAAAAAAAAACAAATGATTTATTTTTTTTTATCAAAAAAAAAACAAATGACTTATTTTTTTTTATTTAAAATTGATTTATTTATTTGATTCTGAATATATATAAGAGGATTCGAGTTCGTCGATATCTATGGGCCTGGTCAACCTGGCCGGAAGCCCCGATTTATTTTTCATCGCATAGTTTCTATTCTCGACCAAAACGTATGATTTTTTTACCGAACATAGTACTAATAAAGAGCTAATAAACCGCTATAGTTTCGACTATATACCTCGTTCGAAGCTAATATAACTAAGCGTTTTCGTACAGTGCACTATTAAAATGCATTTTAATGTTCATCTAGTACATAAATTTCGCTCTATGGAAAGTTAACAACTAAGCTTATATCTGCACTATATGTCAATAGTAATTAGACAGAAATACGTCTATAGTTATAGGTTGACATCTTCACGAAAGACACATCTCTGGAAAGGAGGCCATTAAACAGAAATTGTTTTCTTATTTGATATTTTCTCACCACACAACAGCCGATTACATTATTCGCTTGAATATAGTTTCTTTGTTTACATTTGTTTTTTCCTTTAATTCATTTCCACTAAAACAATACGTTAATCTATATATCGCTATGATATCATCTTCATCAGAAATCGAATGGGATTGTCCTGAATGTCAGACTGCTATAACTGATCGACGAAAATATTGCATTAGTTGTCAATCAATGCTGATTTGGACATGTGTTCCTTCTGGAAAATCAGGTTTATACAGCAATTACCATCGACATCGCAACAGATGTAACTATTGTACACCAGAGCTTGAAGAAGAACGACAACAGTTGAAGATGGAAAATCGGCTCTCAAAATTTCAAGAAATTGAAATATCGGATAATGGTAAGAAATGCGTTTAGTGAGCATTTTAACTCCTAGTCTATTGTGTGGTGTGTCTCGAATACATAATAACAAAGCATCGGAATTTTTCTAGTGATTTTATATTCTAGAGCAACGTCCCTGGTCCGAGTGGAGTCGTAGCGATGAGTCATGTACACGACATACAGGACACGACATCGAACAAGTGCAACAATTATTCAACATGTGCGAACAATCGCTGATCGAATTTTGTATGAATAGAAAACAACAACATACAACAGATACAAATATTAAATTTTTATCGCCTATCAATTTACTTGCAGTTACGCTATGGTATCTGAAGCATTATCACTCTGAGCGTTATATAGCAGCAGAGTTAAACTTCAGTAAATCAACAGTGAACTGTTTTTTATCTGCAGTGATAGATGTATTATATGCATCTGCATATCCGAAGTTAATTTTATTACCTGATGATATGGATAATGAAGCTACAGCGCATGGGCCTGAGCCGCACCACAAGCTAATTGTTGATTCTACCTTTATTGCAATTCACCAGCCAGAAGATTCTGACCAACGTAAAGCGTATTATCATGCAAAAAGCCCAACAAACTATGCATTTAAAATACAGATAACTTGTGATTTTAATCATCGAATAGTTCATGTGTCCAAATGCTATCAAGGCAGTGTACGTGATATTACTGTTCTAAGAGAATCAGGGTTATTGGAACATACAGAAGAACATGTTCAAATCATCGCCGACAAAGGATATATCGGCGAACAATATGTCATAACCCCAAGAAAGAAACCTCGTGGTGGCGAATTAACACCTGAAGATAAAGATTTCAATCGATCAATTTCCAGTGCAAGAGCAGCGATCGAAAATATCAATCAACGTATTAAAAGTTATGCCATTTTAGGAAGTATTTACAGAGGTGCCTATGATGATTTTGATAAGATTACTCGAATTACACATGTAGTCTCTGCACTTTGTAATTTTAAGTTAAGTAAACATCCTATTCGAAGCGAGAGATAATGATACAGTTTCAGTCATTACTAATCGATTTTTTCTAACTAATATTTGTTATTTCTCTATTTCGTTGTTTCATATAAATAAAATGAACTGCGGTGGCAAATCTGATAATAGTACGTTTTCAAGAAAGACTCTATAAAACTATCTGTTTTTTTCGGATTCGGATAAGGTATATAGTCGAAACTATAGCGGTTCATTAGCTCTTTATTAGTACTATGTCTGGTAAAAAAATCATACGTTTTGGTCGAGAATAGAAACTATGCGATGAAAAATAAATCGGGGCTTCCGGCCAGGTTGACCAGCCCCCTATATATATAATGTTCAGTGTGTGTGTGTGTGTGTCTGATTGTGCCGGGTCAAAGGTTAAAGGTCAAAGTTTACAGATTCTAGAATTTTCTAGAACATTCTCTGAGAATTCCGAAAAGGTCATGGATCAAAGGCCAAGGGTCAAAGATCAAAGACCAAGGGTCAAAGATCAAAAGTCAAAGGTTGAAGATCAAGGGGCAATGGTTAAGGGTTGAGGGTGAACCGTTAGAGGGCAAAGAACATTCGGGAATTTTCTCTGACCATACGTCATGGTCATGAGTCATGAGTCAGGAATGGTCGATGGTGAATTCAAGAGAACATTCTCGAAGGTTTCAGGATAGATTACAAAGAGGTATAAATAGACCCGTCGCAGTTGCAACACTATCATTTTCCAAATATCAACAATGACTGATACATTAAGTGATTCTACTATGGATTATGAACATGAAGAGCTAATATCAACAGCACGTGCCAAACAAAACATCTCAGCTTTGGACGATGCTGATAAGCATCTTACATTCGAAACATCACATGAAAACTTTAAGCTGAAAACTCTTCGGAGGTCCGAAAGAATCCAACAACGACGTGCACAAGAAAATGAAGAGACTAGAAAGGAACGACTACGGCGAGATGCAGCAAGACATCACTCGCAGCATCTACAAGAATCAGGGTAACAAACGCAGGAACGTCGACGAAAGGATGTGTTACGAGCGAAACGACGAAGGGAGCAAGAAACTGATAATGAACGACGTGAACGCCAAGAAAAGAATGCGTCACGAGAAAAAAGACGAAGAGAGCAAGAAACTGATAATAAACGACGTGAACGCCAAGAAAAGAATGCATCACGAGAAAGAAAACGAAGGGAACAAGAAACTGATGATGAACGACAAGCAAAGAACGCTTTTCGTCAACGCCATCGTTGACACCGAAGCTCATCTTTGTATGGAGCTGCACTTCGAGACGAATTTCCTCCTGAAAGCTATCATGGGAGAATGGATAATCTCTGTCAACATTGCAATGCTCTACACTTTAAGGATGAGTGTGCCTCTGATAGATAGGATGAATTCAAGCAATGCTGTCACTACGGATCTGTTCAACTTCCGGAACTTCTTCCATATCCAGATGAAATCAGAGCTCTTCTACAAGGAACCGATGTTGAATCAAGAAATTTTCGAGAAAACATTAGAAGTTACAATAGTGCTCTTGCATTTGCATCTATGGGGGCTCAAATTGATTTGCCACAAGGATATGGGCCCTATTGCTTTCGCATTCATGGACAAATCTATCATCGGATAGGTCCACTTCGTCCTGATCCTGGCCAAAGAGCTCAATTTGGACAACTTTACATTTTTGACTCATCCTTGGCATTAAAAGAACGGATGGGAAATGCTGCTAATGAAAATTGCAATGAAACTACAATGAGCAAACTCGGCGATATAATGAAGAGAATTAGTCTTTTTGCTGCTGCCTTCAAGATGATACATGAAGTCGAACAAGAAGAAATTGATCGAGCCAAGAGAGAGAAACGAACACCATCTCCACTTGGAATGATTTTTGACATTAATCATGGAATTCACGATCGGCGACTCTACAATGTTCCAACAGCGAATGAAGTCGCTGCAGTTTTCGTAGGTGAAGATAGTGAAATTCCAACATATCGACATATTGCTATTCATCCACGTGGTCACAATCTTCAAACTATTTCAATCTTACATCCTCATTGTGATCCAATGACTTATTTCCTTTTATTTCCTCACGGAGATAAAGGATGGTACCTAGAATTGGAAAAAATTGATCAATCACGAAATCGAAGAAGAGTATCAATGCTTCAATTCTACAGCTATCGATTGGCTATTCATCCAACCTTCAGTGCCATCCACTATAGAGAAAAACTATTCCAGTAATATATTGTCGATGGTTATGTCAAAACCGAACAAAATCGACTTGCATTCCATCGACAAAATCAAAAGGCTCTTCGAGTAGAATTATACCAAGGTCTAATGGATCATTTGGCAAATGAAGCTGAAATTGAAGGTTTAAGACCTGGACGTGTTATAATACTTCCATCAAGTTTTCAAGGAAGTCCAAGAGCAATGCAACAGAATTATCAAGATGCAATGGCAATCGTCCGAAAATATGGAAAACCCGACTTATTCATCACATTTACCTGTAATCCAACATGGAGAGAAATCGAAGAACAGCTTTTTCCTGAACAAACTCCATCCGATAGACCTGATCTAATTACCAGAATCTTTAAACTCAAACTTAATGAACTTATTGATGATATCTTCAAGAAACATATATTAAGACGAACCATAGCCAATGTCTTCGTAATCGAATTTCAAAAGCGTGGCTTACCACATTGTCACATGCTTATCATTTTGGCCAACGAAGATAAGCCAAAGGATGAAAATCACATTAACCATATCGTCTGCAGTGAAATGTCAGATCATGTCCAATTTCCACAATTATATGAATGTGTGAGAAAGCATATGATTCATGGACCATGTGAAGCATTAAACCCACATTCTCCTTGCATGGAAGATGGCAAGTGCTCAACAGAATTTCAAAATGATACTCTTCCGAATAAGGATGGATTTCCACGATATCGAAGAAGAGATAATGGAATTACTATGACTATTGACAAGTATGAAGTTGACAATAGATGGATAGTTCCATATAATCCATATTTACTAATGAAATACAATGCTCATATTAATGTGGAAATTTGTGCAACTGTGAAAAGTATCAAACATTTATTTAAATACATTTACAAGGGACATGATTGCGCTAACATTAAATTACAACGACCAGTTCAAGAAGGTGCTGCTGCTGCTCAAGGAACTTTGGAATGGGATAAAATTAAAGCACATCTCGATGCAAGATATGTAAGCGCACCTGAAGCTGCATGGAGACTTTTTGAATTTCCATTACATGATAAGTCTCATGCTATTATCCGATTAGCCGTCCATCTTCCAAATCAGCAGCCAGTTTATTTTGCTGAAGGAAACGAACGACAAGCATCGGAAAGAGCTGCTATGAAAGACACGACACTTACTGCATGGTGCAAATTAAATTCAAAAAATCCAGATGCACGACAATATCTTTACCATGATATTCCACAGCACTTTGTTTTTGAACGTAATGAAACATGGAACCATCGACTACAAGGTGAAAACGTCATCGGTAGAATGTACTCCGTCAGCCCCAGTGATGTAGAACGCTACCATCTCTGATTGTTACTGTTATATACTCCTGGTGCCTGTAGTTTTGATGATCTCAAAACAGTAGACAGCCAAGTCTGTCAAACATTTATGGAAGCTGCTAAAAGACGAGATCTATTACGTGATGATACTGAATATGAAAGATGCATGTCTGAAGCCGTTATCTTCCAGATGCCACAACAGCTAAGAACACTTTTCTGTGTGATACTTCTATACTGTAATCCAACAAAACCTGTAGACCTCTGGAATTCGTTTAAAGCACATATGGGCGAGGACTTCATGCAACAAGTGGATGCTGAAACAGCAGAAGCAATGGCATTTTATGCAATCGATGAAAAGCTGAAAGAACAAGGCCGAAGTTGCAGTGATTTTGGTATGCCATCACCAACATCTGTTCCTTATTCAGTTGAATGAAAAGTTATCAATAAAGAAGAAGAATTTCGAACAGGACAAGAAATGTATGCAATGTTGAATCGAGATCAACGTTCAGTAGCAGATGCAATTCTTGCAAGTCATGGTAAACAATCAACCACCACTGCTGGCTCATGTTTCTTTACCGATGGTCCTGAAGGTACAGGAGAAACCTATCTTTATAACATCCTGTATCATTTATTCATGGGACAAGGAGTCCACGTTATGACAGTTACATGGACAGGAATTGCTGCAAGTTTATTGCCTGAAGGAAGAACTGTACATAGTCGTTTCAAGCTTCCCGTACCTATATTAGAAACATCTACATCAAGTATTCGACCAAACAGTAAGGAAGCTGAAGAGATTAGAAAGACTCAAGTTTTTATCTGGGACGAAGCACCAATGGCTCCATCTTATGCTCTCAATGCAGTTAATTTTTTGCTGAGAGATATAATGAACATCGATGCACCTTTTGGAGGAAAAATTACGATACTCGGTGGAGATTTTCGACAAGTTCCTCCAGTCATTCGATTTGCAAACAGATCAGAATTAATTGCAGCAGGTCTCAAAAGTTCCAACCTTTGGCCTTACTTCAAAGTCATGCATCTACACCAGAACATGACAACAGGACCAGGTGAAGAAGAATTCTCAAAGTGGCTTATTAAACTTGACAATGGTGAATTAACATCGAACGAAGATGATGAAATCGAAGTACCTAGCTCCTCTATGTTAAACGGTAATTTGGTCGACGAGATCTTTGGCAAACACATTTCTATAGAAGATGTTCCAACTCTATGCAACAGAACAATTCTTTGTCCGAAAAATGAACATTCTCTCCTGGTAAATGAAGAAGTTCTTCAACGGCTACCCGGAATAGAAAAAACGTACACAAGTGTGGATGAAGTAGAATGTGAAGATGGTGATGATGTTACCAACTATCCTACAGAATTTTTGAATAGCCTTACACCGTCAGAAATGCCTCCTCATAAGCTTAAATTAAAGATCGGTGCAATTATTATGCTTCTTCGCAACCTCGATGTTCATCAAGGTCTATGCAATGGAATTCGGTTGATTGTGCGACGTCTACTAAATCACACAATTAATTGTGAAGTCGCAACTGGATCTAACAAAGGAAGCCGAGTCCTAATACCAAGAATTACCTAGACACCGTCTGATCCATTTTTGCTCTTTCAACTACGTAGGCATCAATTTCCTATTCGACTCTCATTTGCTATGACAATTAACAAATCACAAGGACAGACCTTTGATCGATTAGGACTACTTCTACCACAACCAGTTTTTAGTCATGGACAACTCTACGTTGCCTTTTCAAGAGTTCGCTCTCTAACCTCTATCAAGGTACAAATCATCAAAGAAGAAAAAAACCGTGAAAGGCATAAAACTAAAAACATTGTTTTCAAAGAAATTTTGTAAATTTGTTGTTTTAGAATAAAATGAAGATTATATAAATAAATTCTTTTGATACAATAGAAATAAATATTTTAATAATATACCCGATAATCCCCTGATCCTCACGAAAAACTTGCTTTCGATGATAAAAAACTACCGTGTAGTATGCATGGGTTCGCGCTAGTCTAATCATATTGTGAAAAAAAATAAAAGTCTGTGTGTGTCTTCGCTAAATAGCAAAACATTTTTTATCCATAAGTTCTTCGAAAAATTTCAATCGTTGACTGAAAAAAGTAAACCTAGATAAACGACTGATCAATGGGTATACTTTATTGATTTGTTTTATAAGAAGAAAGCTAAATATTGACATAAAACTATTGAATATCTTATTTTAAAATTTGACAGTATATCTATTTTATTGATTATATTATAAAATTTATTGATATTATAAAATAAAGAATTCTACTAGAATAAATAAAATGAGACACGAATGTTAACTAGGAAAGAATGTTTGAGAAGGAGAGAGAAATAAATGAATTTGTATATGTTTGAATTCGATTATGTTGAAAGTAAATAAATAAATTTATGTCTTGATTGGAGGTGAATCAGCAAATAAATCATCGATAAATCCCGATGCATAACGTTCACCAAAGACATTAGCTTTTTCACAAGCTTGACGAATTTGTTTAACTTCTTGATTAGTTAAATGAATATGAATAGCTCCAATATTTTCTTCTAAATTTTTTATTTTTGATGTTCCAGGTATTGGAATAAAATCATTACCTTGAGCAAGAATCCATGCTAATGTTAATTGACCAGGTGTACAATTTTTTTTCTTTGCTATTTCTTTTAAATCTTCAACTAATTGAAGATTTTTTTGAAAATTTTCTTTTGAAAATCTTGGTAAATTTTTTCGAAAATCATTTTCTTCGAAATCATCTGGACTTTTTATTTGTCCAGTAAAAAATCCTCGACCTAAAGGTGAATAACAAACAATAGCAACACCAAGTTGTCTACATGTATTTAAAAGAGCAATATCATCTCGTTCAATATCTAAACTAAATGGTGAATATTCAATTTGTACACAAGATATTGGATGAATAGAATATGCTCGTCGAAGTGTATCACTTGAACATTCAGATAAACCAATATATTTGATTTTTCCATTATCAATTAATTCTTTCATAGCTTTTATTGTTTCTTCAATCGGAACATTTTTATCAATTCTATGTGCATAATAAAGATCAATTGAATCAAGACCAAGACGTTTTAAACTTCGTTCATTTGCTTGACGAACATATTCAGCATCACCACGTACTGAAAATTTTCCATCTGGAGAAGTAACAAAACCAAATTTTGTTGCAAGAAATATCTATATATAACATTTATTCGATTAATCATCATTCAATATTCTCTCTTTTTATTTTAATTATTTTATTATTAACAAAAACAACAATTTTATTTTTCTATGTAAACATTAAATTCTAATCTTATTCAATTTTCTTTTTCTAATAACTTACTTTTTTTCTTTGTTCGGGATATTTTTTCAAATATTTTCCAATAAGTTCTTCACTATCTCCATAAACATCAGCAGTATCAATAAAATTCGAACCAAGTTCAATTGCTCGATCAAGAACTTTGAATCGTTCTTCATCCGACGCACAACTTCCATAAAATGCCGATAAACCCATCGCTCCATAACCCATCGACGAGACTTCAGGACCATTTTTACCCAGTTGACGAGTCGGCATTTTTGACATTTTTTTTTTTCTAAATATTTCAATCTAAAAGAAAAGGCATTAACAATAAAATGTGACTTTGTCAAATGAATGCGTTCCCATTTTTATTGAATAGTGTACATACTCTATCAGAAAGCAAAAACGAAAATCAATTTGCGTCTCTTTAATTTCTAATGATGGGGCAAAGAAAAATATGAGAAAGAAAATAAAATAATTGGATAGATGTCTCATTTTCAAAACTACAACTCTCAACTTACTCTTATCGTCTTAGAAAAAAAAACAGCAAATAAAATTGCATATATCAATTATCTGACATTTTCGTAAGGTATACACAGATTGGAATATCTTATCTGATTAATCAACAATAAATCAATCTTCGGTAAACAATCAAATAGATAAAAAAAGAAACAAACCAATAAATAAAGTCTACGATCGTTATCAATCATAACGTTTTAGCCTAAAGTTTGTTATGCCATCGGAGACTTCATATAATAATCAACTTTCTATTTCTTAGAAAAGTGTCAATTATGAGAAAATATTTTGACTGATTGATTGATACCTCCTATGTTTACCAAATTCTACCGACCGACAACACCTTATTTAATATAGATGTCTCTATATTGTTTTCCTATGTTGGAAGTTAAAAGATTTTTGTCGATATTCATAATTAAAGAAAGGAAAGAAGTTGATAAAAAATAAGAAGATTTTTCTTTACCGTCGGACATTTAAAAAAGAAAGTACCTTAGCGTAATGTGTCTTTTCATGGCAGTCACACTGACAGAGTTATTGTCTTTATTTGAAAGTTGAAACTTAAATTGAATTCAACTTTTAACTTTGACATATATTAATAGTGCTCTTATGAACTTTTAGATTTCTAAAAGTACTTAAAAGTACTTTTAAGATTATCAAAACTACAATAAGATATTTTCGAAAGTATAAAATTTATTATAATATACTTCACAAATGAAAAACTACTATTAACTACTTGTAAACATGCAAAAAAAGTACTAAAATTCATTAAAAATAAGTGAAAAATATTAAGAAAATTAAACTTATTTTTATTTATTAATATTTAAAGTACTTAAAAGCATCTTCTTTTTCACTTTATTTTTTTTTACATTGGTACGTTCAATAAACTGATTATTTTCCTCTTTTTCTTTAAATGAATCAACGTGCTTTGAAAGATTTATCTATTGAGATCCGTTAAAATCGAAGATCTTTAGTTCGATAATTTATGCTTATATCAACACACCTCTCTATAGTCATATTTATAGATGATTCGCTTTTTTTTTTCTTATCAAAATGAGAATTCATTTATTTAACAATTATTTTAAAAAAGTATATGCTAAAGACCTTCAACTACTTTTTCCTTTTATACCCAGGACGGGCATTAAGACAGTTCTAAACAGTCACATACGCTATCAATTTTGACCATATATGATCGTATTACTTCATTCTTCAGATCAAGCATGCACGCTTGTAGACGACCGTACACCGTCGTTTCCTATTCTATTGACATAAGCTTCTTCTCATGGGAGAGTCTCGCCAAGTAATAAATCGCTTTTTGGATCAGTCTTACCCTATTAGGTAGGGTCTACTGAGACTAGAAAACGTCTAAAATGATTCGTGATCATGCCTCTTTCTTCTTCGATTATCGAAATTTTAACTGAGTTTTTCAATAAAATGCCGTAGTTCCACTGAGATCATCTTCAAAATTGACTTTCGAGTTCAGACTTTGAACAAATAAAGTTCTTAATGGGACTAATAAATTGTCAAGATTTTAGAGTTTCTAGTATCTTCAATCCTGAGATATGAATATAAAAAGTCTGTTATGCGACAAAGCAAACGTTTGTTTTTAATATTTGTATCTAAGGATAAAATATAGTAAAATATCTAAAACATTGACAATCTATTTATCCCATTGAGAACTTTATTTCTACAAAGTTCGAACTCGAAACTCGATTTTGAAGATGACCTCAGCGGGACTAGGGCATTTTATTGAAAAACTCACTAAAATTCCTATAATCGAAGAAGAAAGACTCATGGGCACGAATCATTTCAGACTTATCCTAGTCTGAATAGGTCTTACCTAATGAAGTAAGACTCATATAAAAATTGATTAATTACCTGTTGAGGTAGCCTCGTCATCGTCAGTGAATAAAGGGAAGGTGAAGGCGATTTTCTTGGCTACGTCCTAACTGCGGTCAAAAATTAGGCCAATTAACACATCAGTGATCGCAATTTGGAATAGAGAAGTTAACGTTGATTTCATTTTTTATTCGTTTCCAAATTGCGATCACTTAGATCAATTAGTTATTGAAAAATTAAATTATGAGTTCTTTTCTTTTGACAATATATATATATATATATATGAATCGTGGAGAGAAAAATCATACTACATATCAAACTATGAATACAAACTTTACTTGGTCAACAACCGAAAAAGGTGAAAAAGCAATTCTATATAATGGTTACCTTTATCGATTAAGACGTGAAAATCAGAATGGTACATTAATCTATGTCTGTACTTTCAAATTGTGTTCTCGTACTATTACTTTAAAAAACGATGTAATTTTAAAAACAAATGGTGGAAATCATAATCATTATATTCACATTCTAAAAGATGCAAAAGATAGTAGTGATGAAGAATAGGTTTTTTTTTGTTATTTATTTTCTCTATAAATATTGATTTCAATTAAAACTGTTAATTAATCGATAAGAAAAAAGTGATCGCAATTTGGAAACGAATAAAAAATGAAATCAACGTTAACTTCTCTATTCCAAATTGCGATCACTGATGTGTTAATTGGCCTAATTTTTGACCGCAATTAGGAAGCTACGATTTTCTCTTACTCCCTTATCTTGTAAACAAGAAAAATAATCTATCTATTTAAATAAATTGTTATCCTCTAGGTTGTTGTTGAAATTAATCTAAATAAAAATAAAATAAATATACTAAACTCTACCATTAGAGACCACCGTGAATAATCAATACGTTATCGTAAACGACTCTTTTTATTCTGTATTCTATCGTTAATAATATGTTGAGTATTACTCTCCAAAAACGATATTCTATTCTCACTGTAAAATCTGGTAATGTTATCGTATTCTATCATAGAGATGATTATATTATTAAACTAGAATTTCAAGATAAATGTCACCCCGTTAACGTGTCGTATTGCACCGTAAAGGGCCTATAGGGATCGTATTTTTCGAGTAAAGTATTTATTTAAATAAGTATATAGTGTTCAATATTTTCTTGAGATAAATTAAAATAAAAAAAAAAAAGATTTAATGTTATAAATATCTATTTCCCATTGGATTTGATGCTAAAATAAACTTAACTAAATAAATCTAATTTAACTTATTAAAATAAAGACTTATCATTGAAGTTTATGGTGAGTTGATATTGTTAGATCTTTCGAAGTTTCGAAGTTTTTCTTGAATCTTCCTGCCTTTCCGATTTGAAATAGTTTCTCTTTTAATAATATTTCACTTGTGTGTTAATATTCGTAAAAATTTGTCAATTATTTCTTCTATGGGTCAGTAGAAAAGGGCAAATATTTATTCTTGATTGTTAGAATATTTTCATCCTTTTATCTTATTAAACGACAGTAAAATGAATAGAAGATAATTGAATGTAAATATTTTAGTCGATTATTCTAATAAGGTATAATTTGATTGTGTTTATCAAAAAATAATGATATTATATGAAATCATGTTCGAAAATCTATTGAATTGTTTCAAATGAAAATAATTTATTTAATAAATTGAGTGAAATTGAAATGATATTTAAATCCATAGAATAGAAAAATATTTCTCCGTTTTGATCATCTTCAATCAACTATCGAAATATCTCAACAGCTGATTTTAACAAAAAACCTGATTAAATAAACAAATTGAAGAAGAAGAGAAGAGTGATGACGATGGTTCAATGAAAAAAAAATATTCTAACAAAGAAAATTCGACTTGATCATTTGTAGAGAATGTTCCTATCTGCCCTAAATCTCCACAAATTAATCTCATTTTTATTTTCAAATTTTTTTTTTCATAGTAATCGTATGTAAATTTTTTTTGTTTTACTTATCATTTTGTAAAACAGTGATTTTCTAAATCTTGACCGCTTACGACCCCCTTTTTAGTTTGTCCGATCGAGCTGAAAATTTTACCACAAATACTTTGAAGTATTCTCCAGAGGTAAAATCAAGCGTTTTCATTATTGATGTTCCTACTCGGAGTTACAGAGTCGCGAAAGCCAACACCCGAAGCACAAACTCAAATCTTGGCATATTTCTCTTATAAAAACAAAAAAAGAAAGTGAGATTTTTGGAAATCCTTAAATTTACCCCTGAGGAATAGTGTTAGGCATCTATAAACAATATTTCAGCTCAATCGGACAAACTTTAAGGGGGGGGGGGGGGGTTCGTAATATGTCAGGATGCGGACCTCTGGAAAACCATATTTTTCCTGAAAACCCGACAAAAACTTCTTTAAAATTTTTTTTTCCTCGAACACGTATCTCTTTATTTTTAGTGGTCTATCTGTGCTAAAAATTTCAGGTTGATCGGTTGTACCGTCTTCGAGAAGCAGCAAGTGTCAAAAAAGAGGGGGAGGTACCCATAAGTTTTAAACATTTTTAGAAGAAAAAATATGACTAACTGTCATACAACGGAAAATTAACAACGTTTTTTAAATACGTTGCAAATGACTAAACCATATTGACTGAATAGAATTTATATAAATCTAAGGATCTGTGTTGTCTACTCTCTCAATATAAATACATATTGATATTTATCTCGATGATGGAGAGATGATTATATTTCTCTGTGCAGCTGTTGATTTAAACTATACTAGACGAATAAAAATATTCTGCATAAAATCTGAGAAGATATTATTTCATTCTTTCTCTTATTCTATTCTACTCTTTATTTCGGCTATTTTGCATTAATCAATATTTTCAACCAATGATTTTATTTTTTTATTTTTTTATTTTTTTGCAATGAGTGGTTAGACAGTATTAG